GCTTATAATATTTATTTATATATTTATAATATTTTTTCCAAAAAAAATAATTTTAAACAATAATAACTTACAAAATGGCAAGAACAAAACAAAAACTAACTCCTTCTTGAAGTACAAATTGCATGGATACACATTATACTTTTTCATATTTCTTCAACAAACCAACTTTGATCATTCTTTTAAACATAAACATTGATCTGGCATTTTTCACATCACTCTCCAGATTATTCCATAATCTTATTCCTTGTATTGAAGTACACCGCTCCTTCAAACTGGTTCAAATTTTAGGTTTCACAAACATCTCTGGCCCTCTTGAGATTTCTCTTTACATAATTCAATTGGATGTTTAAAGGTAGCATATTTTTGTGAGCCCTATACATTACAGATAAAATACTATAACCAAATCATAGAATTTCTATAAGTTCAATTGATAAAATAATAACTGATGGGTGACTGTAATGTTTTCTAGAGATAACTCATAAGTCTCTTTTCTGCAAAACAAAAATAGGATTTGTAATTGTTTTGCGTACTTCAGTACAATAAATTAAGCGTGAAACAGTTATTGCATTACAACATACAGTATACAGAGCTTTAGCATTAAATAACTCCTTTACTTTGTACAGTATTGCAGTACGCAGCTTCAGTTGGTGATTAAAAAGCCACAACTGCTGTGATTTCTCAGTCACAGCTATCTTAACATGTCTTTTACAGTGTTTTTTTCTTCTCTCTCTCTCTCTCTCACTCTCTCACTCTCTCACTCTCTTATTTTTATTTGTTTTTCTAGTATACTCTATCCACAGATGCCTTCCAGCTAGGATACACGGAGGATGGACACTGTAAAGGTGAAGTGGAGCTGTCACTGCCCCCACCTCAGAGGCTTGTGTGGAACATCCCATCAGAGGTACACACAGTTTGTGCTTTACTTATAAGTACTGGAAACGTCATAAGACTGATGTTAAATTGGCCAGGGGGAGATTTACTTCATTTTTTAAAATAAATCTAAACCTAAAGTAAGTAGTGGTACTTATGTATTCACCTCTACTCCTCATACCCAGAGTCAATAATATGAAGAGCTACCTCCTGTAACATTTACAGAAGCAACTCTCTTCAAGTACATTAACTTGGGACAAATAGCCCATAGAAAATTTGTCTATTCTTCAGGGCTAAACTGCTCCAGCTCTTTCAGGTTGGATGAGTGCTGCTTGTGTCCAATGATCTTTATAGCAAACAGGAGATTCTTAGCTGTATTGAGGTCACCTTGACCTGTTGTTCTAGGAACATGAAAGTTTAAATAATTACCAGGAGTGGATTCATTTATACTAACAAAATCCTCCTGTTGTAACCAGGTTTCTGTAAGACAGAATAAATCAATGTGATGATCAGTTATTACATCATTAACTAAAGGCCCTATGACATTTTAGACAACTTATGCTAATTTTGTCCAACACGTTGCTGTAATTTGCACAAGTTAGGTGTAAGTTGTGAATGTGTTGTCAGAATGATGGCCAGACATTAATTTCGGACATGCTCAAAATTTGTCAGCTTATGCCGACATGCTGCTGATAAGTGAGTCATAAGTTACAGGTTTGCTACAGATAATTTATGCATCAGTTCACATGTTTCAGGTTAGTTATTCATTTGTTATTCACAAGTGATACAAGTCCAACACCAGTGGGACACTTCTGAAGCAGCACATAACTTTTTTTAAACCCCTGAGTAGCCACTGTCAATTACAGTAAGGC